CCCCGCCTAGGCATCCCCTTTCCCAGCCGTGCCCCCCGACGCTGGGGGTCGCTGAGCTCCCTCTCTGCCGTCGCCAGAATGCGGAGGTGACCAAGCAGGTGACAGCGGCCAGGCAGGCCCAGGGGGACGTGGAGCGGGAGAAGAAGGAGCTGGAGGACTCCTTCCAGCGGGTGAGCGAGCAGGCTCAGAGGAAGGTGAGTAGGGACGGGGGGGACACACCAGGGATGGCCGGGGGGCTCCCCCATGGGGCATCGGTGCCGGCAACCTCTCTTCTTGCCCGCAGTCTCAGGAGCAGGCAGAGGTGCTGGACACACTGAAGCGGGAGCTGGCAGCCAGCAGACAGGAGCTGCAGGTTCTCCAGGGCACCCTGGAGTCCAGCACGCAGGTGAGAGCCCATGGGTGGCCCCCGCCAACCCCACCACTGCCCCAGGACCTGCAGCCCGGGCAAAGGGGAGGTCTGCCTGCTGTCGCGGTGCTTGGGCGAGGTGTTACCCACCATCGACCTGATAACTCCCTGCCTCCTTCCTCCCCACATCTAGATGGGTTTAATGATCATACCAGGGGGTCTAACCCTCCTGGGTGTGAGAGCATGTGGAGCAATGGCCTCCAGCAGCAGGGATCGTTGAACAAAGTTCCTGCAAGAGCAGGGTCAGGCAGGGCGGCTCTGCCTGCTGTAAAACCCAGGCAGGGAGCGTGCCATCACATCGCAAGCCTTCAAATACCCCCATCGCACGGGCTTGCTGCCATGCTAGAGGGTATTTCATGCCTGCGAAGTTGTGGAGCACAGCAGGGGTTTCCAGGCTATTGTAGAAGGCAGAAGCTGGCAGGAAAACGGAGCTGCCTGTCCCCGGGGTGGGCAGACACGCTGCGGCAGGACAGGGCTGGGGCAGAGCCGGCTCCGGGGCTGGCAGCCAGCCGCCCTTCATCCGCTCCTCCGTCAGGATGCTGACAGTCATAATAAAAGTGAATTTTCACTGGCAAAAGCGAAAGGGCTTCCCAGGGAGCCTCAGCCAGCCCCAGGCGAGACCGTCAGTGCTGCAAGGGTGCTGCCAGGCGGCGGGTGATGCAGGGCGATGACCTGCACGGGCTGTGATGTACCGAGCAGGGACGGTCGGGGTGGCCCGAGCCTGGACCATGAACAAGTCCCCAAACTGGAAGGTTCACCCTCAGCACAGCCCCGACCGCTGTTTCGTGCCCACCCAGGCGGGAGCGGAGCAGAGCACCCGGATTGCCGGCCTGGAGCAGGAGAGGGACAGCCTGAGCCAGGCAGCGGAGCAGCATGGGGAGGAGATGGCTGCCCTGCGGGCTGAGCTGCAGCAGCTGCGGGACACGCTCAGCCGCGAGC